CCAGTTAGCCTAGCTAAATGGAGAACAATAGCACCCTGTAATGATATCAGTAATAGGGTTGCCAAGTGACTCACCAAAATAAGCAGGGGAGAGTTGGTCACATTCTGGGACATTCGCGCGTGCACACTGCAATGATGTTGCCTGGAAGTGACATCATCACGCTGGGCACCTCGCCGGGCAACGCTCTAGCAACTGGCCTGAAAACTGTATGGTACCATAGAGTTTTTAGGGTGATTGCTAGAGCATCGCCCAGGAACGTGCCCAGCGTGATGACATCACTTATGGGCGACGACATCATGCCGGGCACATCGGCCCGATCTGGCCACTTCGACGGTGGGGTTCCCCCCACTGGCCGGACCTGGACCGACGGATTGGGGGCCCTTTTAATGGGGGAATCCCGGCCCCCCCGGGGGGACTTGGCAGCCCTAATCAGTAACATAGATACTGTTAGAGCCCAATTAGAAATTTATGACAAAGTATAATGGAACCAATAGATATGCTTTGCTTGTTTATGTCATATCGAGTATAAAATGCTATGTCACCCATTGTAACTTCGGAGAAGCTGGTGGGTATTCAAGGGTCCCAAAACTTTGTGTACCTGTGCTCTCCCTTTATTAATTAATATTTTTTTTTAGTGTTTCTTCTCTACAGGACTGTTTCATGTGTTTTCTCAAATTGGGTTGGGAAACACAACCAGGGACACAGTTCGTGTTCCACACTAGGATCTTATGAGAAGGTCTTTCCCATCACTTACTACCTGGACATTTCGGCTGGAAATACCAGGGGATTGAACCTGGGACCTTCTGCACACCAAACAGATGGTCTACCACTGAGCCATGGTCCCTCCACAAGATTGTCACTGCATTTTGTACCAATTGAAGCTTCTGGAGTATTTTCAAAGGTAGCTCCCACGTAGGGTGCATTCACAACTGAATTTTCCTATGTAGACAACACAATCCAGTTGCAAATTATTGCTATAACACAGTTGTAACCTCCATCAACATGTGGATGCAGTCAAACTATAAGGAGACAAAAATGAAAGAACCCACATTAACATGGCAAAGGAAATTTAAGTACACCAGCAACCAGTGCTCCCTCTAAGCTGTGGAGTCTTGTGAGCACAAATTCTACTTTGTGAGCTACTGGCATTAAAGCTGTGAGTGAGCGATTTGGCTGCTGCATAACTTAATTTGCTCTGGAGCCATCCTTCCTGAGCTAAGACAAATGTGTGAGCCGGAGGCTAAAAAACTGTGAGCTAGCTCACACTAACTCAGCTTAGAGGGAACACTGCCAACAACAGTGGAAAATGGGTTTAGTCAGTGAATGGTTGAGTAGGATTGATTGCAATTATCCAGCCTTAGTTCCTCACATTATTGTCTGTCACTGAGAAGGAAAAACTGATCCCTGTAGAAGTTAAAAAGGACGAGTTGAATATTCTCTTGTCTCCTCTAGGAATAGGAATTCACAGAAATAATGGTGTCTGTTGTTTTTAAATCGCATGGAGACAGTAGGGCATTCAGGTATAGAATCATAGTACACTGAATGGCTGGGTTTCTGGATGAATCATTAATCCTGATTTGTAAAGCACCCTTTGCAAGACTGTTCTTCAAAGCTATCATCTGCTGAGGAGAAAGTGTGGACCTTGTTCTAGTTCAAGTCAGCCTTTACTGGCATAAAGTGTGGACCTTGTAAAGTCTTGCAAACATATGCAGATGGCAATATCCCGCAGAATGCAACAGACATGATTAACCCTTTAAGGGAATGGCCTGTGTACTCTTGTTTAGTGCTCTAATACATTCCTGGACCAAGGTGGCTTGAGTTGTGGCCTCAGTTATATCCTGAGGCTTGGAGGCGAAAGCGCTCAGGGAGCTGACAAAGCATTAGGATGGCATATCTTAGAGTTCTGCTGGTATTCTGCTGCCATGGCCACCACTAGCCTCACAATTGCACTGAAAATATCCCTCAGGAGAATTGGTGAGGGGGCCATCAGAAAAGATCTCTGTCTAGGACTGGGATTTCCCCAGTCCATTGGTAATTGACAGCCCATTGAGTGTGATAGTCTTAGAAGAGTATCACTCTGTTTAGGACTGCATTGTAAGTGTATTCAGGCTATTTTGGGGCAGGAACGCACAGGAACGGAGTTCCGGCTGGCTCCCAAGTTGACCACACCCAGCAAGAACTCATTAGCATAATAGGCCACACCCGATATCAGAGACTCATTAGGATTGGCTACATTAGGGGTGTGGCCTAACATGCAAAGGAGTTCCTGCTACAAAAAAAGCCCTAGGTTTTGACAACAAACAAGGTAAACAGAATAAGAAGCAAAAGGTGGGTGTGGCTGGATGTCGACACTTCTGGTAACATGGGGGTGCAGCCTAATATGCTAATGAGCTATGCTCTCATGGGTGTGGCTGGATATGCTAATGAGTTTCTGTTGTTGGATGTGGCTGGATATGCTAATGAGTTTCTGTTGTTGGGTGTGGCCTATTATGCTAATGAGTTCCTGCTGGGCTTTTTCTACAAAAAAAGCCCTGAGTGTATTAAAATAGCAGCAGATGTCTTACAAAGCCATTCTGATGGGAAAAAAATAATGGGTGTAAATCAGGGCTCTTTTTGTAGCAGGAGCTCCTTTTCATATTAGGACACACACCCCTAGTGTAGTCAATCCTCCAGGAGCTTACAGAGCTCTTCTTACAGGGGCTACTGTAAGCTCTTGGAGGACTGGCTACATCAGGCATGTGTGGCCTAATATGCAAAGGAGTTAAAGAGCCCTGGGTGTAATAAAGGTCACAGCACAGTGTCAGGTTCTCAGTCAAATCAGTCTCCACACACACTTTCTATAAGGAAAAGTTTATTTGGAGATTTGAAATGTTCATGGGTTCAAACTCTTTGTCAGGATGGGGCACAGAGGCGGGAAAACAGAATATAGTCACAATCCCAACATTCCATTCATACACATCAGCGCTACTACAAAGACCATGAGAGATATACGGTCTATCACTAGCCAAGTACAGACTCTACTTCAAGGACATCTCCCGTGTGAAACGATGTCTCTTGAGGCTCCATGGGAAGAATTACCAAAGCTGGCCTCCTTAAACTACAGGCACTCCCCGCACCCCATGAATGCAATGGCAGGCGAGGGCAAGTTATAAGAACGAAGAATAAAAAAACCAGGTTGCTTACCAGTAACTGGTGATCTTCGAGTGGTCATCTGTGCAGTCACACCCATGGGATTATGTGCCTGTGCTGATCCGAATTGGTGGTATACAAAGCTCACAACGGGATTTTCGTACCTCCCTCCCAGGCATGCGCAGGTACCCCACTGCACATGCCCAAAGAGGTGGGGCGCAGACATCCCGCCAGTTCCTTCTGACCGCTGTCATGTCAATAACCAGATAAAATACTGAAGCAACAGCAGTGGGGAAGGAAGGGCGGGTGGTGTGACTGCACAGATGACCACTCGAAGATCACCAGTTACAGGTAAGCAACCCGTTTATCTTCTTTGTGGTCTCTGTGCATCACAC